CAGTTGCCGCATCTGCGGGGACGTCTTTGCAGTCGATCGGCTTGCAGTCCTCCTTGAGGACCCCATACTGGCAATAGGTCAGCCCACTCTTCAAGTTCTTGAACTTCAGGTAAGCTGGTCGTGTGGGGAAGTCTGTGGGAGGGAAGAGCTGGTTCTCGCATGTCCCCATGCTGGTCGCAACTTCGAGGCCCAAAGGCGCCAAGGCGAACCAGCCTTGGCAGTGCGTAACTAGGAGACATCACGGTACATGTCGAAACGAGCTTAACTCGAAAGGGACAAGATGGCAGAGTTGTAATAAATTCTTACGAAGCGGCCCAGGAAGGCAAGGAAGAAAGATATTGTGCTAGCCCAGAAAGCTCGCATATGAGGATTCTGCTGCACAGTGCCACAGACCCTAAGGAGCGGCAGCTCCGTGGCCTTCTTGCTGGAATCCACTGCCAACTTGTACTCCGCCATGGTTCTACAAAGCGCGATGACACTCTCTGTCCTGGAGGCTATAGCTCGAGCACCAAGAACTGCGAGCTGAAGTTCGTCCGTGTCACTCACACAAGCCTCCGGAGTCACTCCTGTTGTCAACCGCAAGCTTCGCAGTATCATATGGCATGATAGTATGCTCGTGTTCTTAGAAACCCTAAACCCTAAGCCCCAACCCCTAAACCGGGTTCTTACAAGAGTATTGCGGTGCTATCGAAGCCCGTGGCCTCAACTACAGGCTTTTCGGCTCCTCATCCCGCGAGTCCTGAACCCTGAGATCTGAACACTACACTCCGGTCTGGAAACGGCTCTTTTTTTGTTATCATTAATATAGTAATAACAATAATAATAAATTATTGTTATTGTTGTTATTTCTAACATCATCACCAGTATTAGTAATACGATTAATATGATGGCGGTGGTTATTATTTTCCTTCCCTTTTATTGTCAAGCTGTTACTGTTATCATGATACCATTACTATAATTACTATCATTATTATAGTATTGTTACTATCATGATAATAAAACCTGTTATCTACTCCGAAATGCTATTCTTATCATTATTAATGCTACTATGCTATTTTTATCATTATTAGTAGTAGTAACAGCAGAGTTGAGGCACCAGTGGCCCCACTTCGGATAGGGTCTCTTCGAGCAGCTCTGCCCTAGGCGGAAGATTTCACAAGAATCGCAGAGGAGTCGTGCTTAAGACTGTGTAAGATGAATGTAAGTTGGTCATAGCTGTGCCCATCTCATACGCCCACTAAAACCCTAAACCCAAAACCGACCGAAGCTCTTACAATCCTGCACCGAAGAGATTTAGGACTCTGTGACTCTCAACTCCCTCCACATCTCTTCCCGAGCAGGTCAGGCCGAGTAACTGCGTCAGACGTGCCATAGAACACCACACCTCTCAAGTGGTCATAAAAAAAAGGACATTAAGGGGGATATTGCAGTATACACAATAGCCACGTCAGGACTAGAAGGGGATACAAGCACTAACTATTGCGACTCATATGAACTCAGGCATTCGACGTTGGCTGTCCAGGGCTGTCGAACCTGCAGTTGGGCCTGCAAGTGTTGCCATCATAGAAGAAAAGACTCAAGGTGCACAGGCCTTTTGCCCGAGTTCGTGCAAGAACAAACTGCTGCTAGATTCTGCTAGAGGTCAGAGAAGAACTTGTGCAGACGTGCGGGGCTTTGCGTGCTTGTGAAGGGTTGCTTTAGTCTGCAAGCAAAGCACCCTTTTCATGCCTCGTCATCTGCAACTATCCTCGCTTCCAACCCCAGTATCCAAAAGTTACACTATGCTTTCCAGTGACCTTATTATGGGGTCCTTCAGGCGAAGCGGTTTGTGCGTGTACCGTATATCCATTCAGAGATGCACAGGTTTTGCTTATCTGCTTGTGTATCTTCACCTACGCACCTAAACTCATCTGGATACACTGCCCCACCCACGATGTTAATCCTCATGACAGCTCGAGACCTCATTTCCTAAACCTCAACCCTGTGAACTTTCAAGAAAATCCTGGAGATGTGAGCCCTCGCCTGAATCAGCGACACAGGCACGGACCAAAACAAGAGGCCTCGGCGGTGCAAGGCAGCTCGTTTGAGGGCTCAGGGCGGACCCATTACAGGGGCATCCGGGCACGCTGCAACGTTTGCATTTGTGTGCTTGCGTCCTATTGATCGCCATTGCATTCTCAGTGCCTAAGCCTCACTTGTCACCCTAAACCCTATAAATCCTAAACCCTAAATCCTAAACCTAAACCCAAAATCCTGAATCCATAGCCCCTAAAACCAAAATCCTAAACCCTATAAACCCTAAACCCTGTTTTAAGGCTCATGTTCAGAGGCCCCGGGCCGAAGAGCAAGGCCAACTCCACGAAAAAGGTCCTCACGAGGAGCTGCGCCTGGCCACGGGCAGAACCCTAAGGGACCCCAAGGACTCCTTTGGGTTTAGGAATTTTATGGCGCTTAAAATTCAGTTTGCTTCAAAATTAAGAACCCTAAGGGACCCTAGATTTGGGGATCAGATTCTTACTTTGCTTGTGGGGTGGAAGTGGTTTCGTTGTGGCTTGGCTTGTTATGAAAACGAGAACCTTGGGGGGAGCCGAAGGACTCACAAAAATAAGGTACTTTGGGCTGTGGGTTTAGGGTAGTTATGGCACTTTGGGTTTAGGATAGTTATGGCACTTTGGGTTTAGGATAGTAAAGTAGTTATGGTACATGGGTTTAGGGTAGTTATGGCACTTTGGGTTTAGGATAGTTATGGCACTTTGGGTTCAGGATAGTAAAGTCGTTATGGTACTTGGGCTCAGGATAGTTATGGCACTTTGGGTTCAGGATAGTAAAGTAGTTATGGTACTTGGGCTTAGGATAGTTATGGCACTTTGGGTTTAGGATAGTAAAAGTAGTTATGGTACTTGGGTTTAGGGTAGTAGTTATGTAGGTTCATCTTTGAGAGAGTATATGATTGTTAGGCACCTGGGCCCATGGGGAAGGCCCTGAAAGGAACCCCTTGAGGAACGCTTAAAGGAGCCATTAAGCGAGCCTCTAAGTTTATTTTAAGGGCGAGTATAGGGTAGCCATAATGAATGCGTTCTGGTGTTTTCGGTTTTGGGGGGATCGGTTTCTTGAGGGTATGGTCGAAACGAGGCTTTGGGTTTGCGGTTTAAACCTCAGGGCTCCAGGGTTTTAGTAGGGGTTGAGGACTTAGGTGGATGAGTTTGCAGTTGTCGGTGGCTAGTGGTGTACTTCGTATGCCTAGCCACAGCAACCCGCCTGCGGCCGTGCCACGTTTTGCCAGACCACATCACGGGGCTCCGGTGCGGGGGAGACGAGAAGCTCGGTTCCCAGTGCTGCGTCCTGGAAACATCAGCACTGCGCTCACTGCCCACTTTGAAAACCCTGGACCCACTTTCTTCCGCAGCTCGTGATGACCTGCACTTGGTCGGAAAACTGGATCTACAGCGTCGTTGCGCTGATGTGAGAGCAGCCGCAAGTAAGCTGCACTGAGACTAAGATTCTCTTCTCTGCTTTGCTTTGAACTTTGAACGCTTTGAGCATAGAGGCTGTCAGGGACTTCTTTCGGGTTTTGAAGTTCGGCTGGGACACAGGGCGAGCTGGAGGAATGCCGCTGGTACTTCCATCCACCAAAAAAAGGAAGCGGATCCACATCAGGCACCTCCTTCACTCACTACCGTAACACCTGCGCGCTGCACCAGCGGTATGGGAACCACCTGAAGCTTCGTGGACCGTTTCGGCTTTGGGGTCAATTATTCGGGGGTTGGGTACAATAGGGGCAGAGCCTACTGGGAAAGACTGCCCCCGGTTCATGCAGCCCTGGTATGTTCAAACTATGCTCTATTGCCTCTTCGTTCGGTTCTTTGAGCCTGCAATGGTCCTGCAAGGGCGGTTGCAGAACTGTTCTGTTCTGCACCCCGGAACTTCAGAGCTTGACAACAACACAGGTTGCTTCAAGCGTTTCAAAGGCATGTAGAGGTTCCAGATCCCAGGGAACACCGCGATTGTTGCATGGCTTGCTTGGCTCATTTTAGCCTGGATCGAAAAGACCCCATAAGCATGGGAAAACTTGCAACCCTCTGTCTGGAAAGAGCTCTGATTCTGATCGTTTCTCCGGAATAGTAGACCCGCAACACCAAACTTTCGACCCCAAACAATCCCACGCCGTGACGCCCACCCTAAACGACGGACCCTAAACCCCTTAAGCCCGTATCCCATCCCAGGCCTGCCCTGATGCCATGAGGCCTTGCACTGTTTGGACATATCTGGCATTCACCTCCCATCTTCAGTGGGTGCGTGGCTTCTTTGCTTTTGTTGCTGTTGTTCTCGTGTTTGGGGCTTGCAGCACTTCAGAGTATAGGTCTAGGATTCAGTGTATAGTTATAGGGCTAGGATGTCAAGCGTGGCATATGACACAAGTCCTGTCGAAGCAGAAGAAGAAGATGTCTCAAGCTCAAAGTACCGAACTTTGAACCCCCAATTCCACAATCCGAGCCCTCCTTGATGAAACTATTGAAAGCTGAGTCGCCGGTTCGTCGGCTTCAAAGCGGCCCCAAATGTCCGCCATCTGCCTCTCAAACAGTTGCAACACGACTTCCGGGCTAATGTATGGGCCTGAACAATTAGACCAGGGCTCTGGGCACTGCTTTACTATGCCTATATAGTATCATTCACCATCACCTCGGTCAACACTGCAACCAAGAGCGCCTTCGACCACAAAATGAGCAGTTGGAAGGTCGTAAATTGTGTGGCAGTTTTCTGTAATGCCGGAGGGAGCTTAAGCTTCAGGTGTAGGATTTACGGCTTAAGGCGTGCATCCAGTTGCAACCGCACGTGCCACCACGCTCGGTTGATCCATGCCAGACTGGAACCCTCCACGCCAACCCCAGCCCAAAATCGCGAAAGCCCTTACAACAGCCATCAGAGAACTCACATAGAACCCTTTCTCCCCATATGCAGTCTGTAAGACACATCAGAGAACTGTTTTAGAGGCACCATACTCACCATACGCATATAGAACCCTTCTACAGGCTTGTACAGCGCCTTTTGAATCCTTGCACAATCCTCCTGGAAGCCCGAAAAGGCCCCTTTCTACAGAACCCTTATCGGAAGCCGTAATCATACGAAACCTTCGAAGAAGCCTTGCAAAAAACCCGCAAAACCCCCCTGAAACCCGATCAAACTTACAAACCCACACCAAAAAAACTCATAACACCCCCTAAACCTTCAAGAAGAGCCCCTGAAACCCATAAGTCCATCATGAAGCCACGTTTAGAACAAACACAAACCCTATACCCTAGATCCTGAACCGTAACAGCCCTCCGAGCTGTCTTTTGAAGCCCCCCATGACCCCAGGCCTCGGAGTAATCGGCGATCCCTGCGCCGCGGCCGCCAGGTAGCGCTGCCAGCTCTGGAGCGCCGCCTGCATTTAGGGTTATAGGGTTTAGGTTTTTAGGGTTTTAGGGTTTACGGTTCATAGGGTTTTGAGAACGGCCGCTCCCAGACACAACCAAGTTAAACTAAGACATTACAAAGACCAACGGGCGCACGGGCCCACGGGCCAGCCACGGGCCCATGGGCCCGCCATAGGACTAATACAAGTAGTGGTAGTGTAACACTACGTTTTAAAATAGTCGCCCCAGCTGGTGTAAAGCCGCCGCAAGCCCTGGGGCACACGGCATGGGGGTGAAGTCTGAAGTCAATCCAGGCGGGGTGATGTCAGCCCAAAAACAGTGAAACTTCAGTCATTCCGCAAGGGCACACGCATTTTTGGGAGTGTTCACGGCGTAGACTAAAAATGTCGCATGCCCTGCGCAGGGTGGGTTTCTCATTAAAAAAATGAGTGGCCAACATACGAATGAGAATATGCGAACCCAGTGTGGATGTCATCAAGCCGGGGCCATGGATGATCTTTTCTCAGAACATGGACGTCATTATGCTTGCGGGTGGGGGCCCCCGGTGGAGGGAGGGGAAACAACCTAGCCGAGCACTAACCTAAACCCCAAGCCCAGCTTCCCCTGATTAGGGGACCTAAAACATACGAAATAAAACTAAACGTTGGGCCCATGAACCCTGCGTTGATAGAAGGAAAGAAGGGACCACCCTTTCATGATCGCCGACCTCCCGGACGAAGCACTCCACACGCCACGATGCCTGCAAAGTGGAAAGGAATGCACTCGGCGTCCTGATCCCTGTCAGCCGCCCAACACGCAGTGCAGTGATGAAGTACCGCTGTCCTGCGCAGACACTGCAGGAACCACGCCACACTGCCGAAAACACCGAGGAAGGGCATCCGGAAGCCATTCAGAGGGCCAGCTGTTGGGACCAGCGGCCGCATCCCAGTCTCTTCGAAGCACGATCTGCGCGTCGCGATTCGCCACACAGCCCCATGAGGAAGTCATCATTGCGCTCCTCTGCCACTCCGCGGCGACAGCACAGGCTACGCTCGACGTTGCATGCATGCCTCCTGCGATTCTGCGACCAGAGAGCATCCGCCAAACATCTTGCGTAACGAGCTCCAGCACCAGTGCCATCCCATCCAAAGGTGCCTGTGCGAAGACGAAGAGCTCAAAGGGGCTGCAAGGATCGCACTCGATCAACACCTGAAAGAATGCCTCCATGAGCGATGCGAGACGAGTCCCAGTACTGCCACCAGATTTCCGAAGGAATCCGTGAGCGAGTCCCATGAAGTCCACTGCCACTTTAGGAAAAGAAGACTCCGCCTAACCTGCCTGGCAAATCCAATACAGCAACGTTCCTGAAAACAAGCCTGCCAAGGACCTGACCAGGCCATCCATCCCAGGAAGAAGAACTCTCTTCAGGTACACCACTGTGGACTGGTAGCAGGCAGAACATTAACGTCATCGCTGTCCCACGCCTGCGTTCTGACTGACCCACGCTGTCGTTGAAGATCACGCCGAGCCCCTAGTCTTCACCAGCCACCACCAGGACCACGAGCAGGCGAATACTCGAAACCTCATCGGCAAAATGCTGAACCGAGCCATTGCGCCCTTGTCGGCGAAGAGCTCGCCAGACGACCATCCCGGCCATCTCAGAACACCCTTTGTGTAGAAGACGTCCTAGCCATCAGCGAGCGTGCAACCAGGAAGAGCGCCAAGGCGATGGCTAGGTGGGGCACCGTCGCAGCACAAAGATTGGGCACCAAGCCCCGGAGGGCTACGGTCACCACCACCTGGGACCTTAACCTCAACCTGACCACCCGAAAGCCCTAAACCCTACGTGCTCGCGGACCCCTGTCTTGGGGAGCAAGGCACCCTAATCCCTAAGCCGGGTTTCCCCTAAAGCTTGGGGACCTTGGCACATATGTCCTAAACCACCCTGAAAAACCTTGAAAGGAAACCACCCCCACAAGCAAACCGCAACCCTAGAAAGCGGGGGGCGGGCAGCGGATTGGGAGGGAGGGTTTGAGCCAACACAAACACATAACGGGCCCTCGGGCGGCGGGGGGTCATCTTTAAAGGAGCCCTTGAAGGTGCCTGAAAGAAGCCCTCAAAGGATCCGTAAAAGAAACCCCTACGGGTCAACACGGTAGACTTAGGTTTCGGCAGGGTTTTGGGGACATCTTGGGATTGGGGCTGTAAGGAGCCTCTAAGGTTTTGGATCTAGGGCTTCTAGGCTCGTTTGGGATTGCGGGTTTCGGAGTAGGTTCTGGGGTCTGGTGGTTACCTTTTGGCATCATATGGGGGTTTACCTAGGCCCAGAGTGTAGCAGGCATTGTTTGGCATCACCTATGTTATGGTTGGGATCCTATAGTAAGAAACTAAGGTAACGAAAAGCATTACATTTTAGGGTCCGAACACTGCAGTGAGAGAGAGAGAGAGAGAGACAAAGAGAGACACACGGGTAGTTCTCTAAACTAGGGTCTCTTTTTCAACCCCCCCAAATAGTAAGGAACCCTAAACGGGGGCCTCAGTTTAAAGAATTACCCTCAAAGCCTCAACCACAATCCCTCAACCCTAGAGACTCCTTCAGGAACCCTTGATTGAAAAGGACCCCTGATTCAGAGAAACACCTAAATTAGAAGGGACCCCTCATTTAGAGAACAACCCCTAAATCCCAATAGGAATCCCTTAAAAAACGAATCCTTTGAGGACCCTAACTGAGAAGAACCCACATGATTGGTTCTTCAAATTAAAACATTAGGGTCCTTTTTTATGGGGGCCATATTATATTCGGGACCTTCAAAAAGCACCCTAACTGAGAGAAAAAACCCAAACCCCAAACCCAAACCCTAAACCCTAAATCCTGAACCCTTGTAAGCCCTAAATTCTAAACCCTAAACCCTGCAAAAACCCTAAACCCTAAACCCACATTGCACAAACCTCAAAGCCCTGGCAACTGAATTTGCCTGAAGCTCGGGGGGCAGGTCGGCCTCAGGGCGCGGACCTGGCAGAGTTGAGGCTGGGCTGGTCTACATTGATAGGGGTTTAGGGTTTAGGGATTATTCTTATTCTTATTATTAATATTAGGTTGACCCTTTACAGCCCCTGAAGAATATTCTTGAACACGATCCTCTTAAGCCCAATAAGTGAAAATGTGAATGCCCCTACCTAGATTAACATGCTACATGACAGCATAGTATATTGTAGTATATATTATGGTATTATACAATATGTTACAGTGTAGCATCTTCTTCAACCAAGGGCCGGGATTTAGGGTGCCGGGTTAAGCCCTGGAAGGGTTTAGGCTTAGCTTAGCCTTGTACGCTTTGCGACCGTGCATCCCTTACCCTAAGGGTCCATGTACTCATATAGTATATACTTAGGCCCCAATGTACCTATGTAGGGACTACTTTAAGGCCAATGTGTAAACTATATGAGCACATGGACCCTTAGGGTGATGAACGATCAAGAGATGTGGAGCTACTTTATAAGGAGAAGGCCCCGGCCCAGGATTCGGCTAAGCCGCACCCCGGCACGGTCGGGGGCAAGGCAAAAGCCTGGATTCTTGTTAAGGGATTTAATTGAAGTTACCATAATAAGGAAACCATATTATTTGCTATAGATCCCCATTATGGTAGCTAAATTAAGTCCCTTGACAAGAACCCAGAAGCGGTCTTCCCCTTAATTAAGGAATATACCTTAAATCATAATATTAAGGCCCCTATGATTTAAAGTGTATATATATATACCTTACATCATAATATGAAGGCCCCTATCCCGATGGAGCGCCTTGTCCGCTAGCTGCCTTCCTCTTGGCAATGATGCGGTCCACGATCCACTTCCCAGCGCCGATACCTGGGCTACTGTCTCAAATCACCACTGGCCGTAACGGACGGTGATACCATTTATCTTTTCATGGGAACATGCTGTGCTGCTTTGCAGAAATACTGCATCATAATACGATTAGAGGGATAACCATCCCCTAGAATGGCCCTAGAAACATCTTCTGAAACTTACCCACTCCCAGAAGGCTGTAACCCTCCACCTGCTACCGCTACTGACTCGACCGTCAACCGTGACACAACGCATGAGGGGGGCTTCTTTTGTTTTAGGGCTTTAGGGTCCATGCGGGCCATGGAAAGGCCTATCGAAAGTCGAACATTGAGAATTTCTAAAATTTGGGGTTTTCGAGAGTTTCTGAACCCTGATCAAAATTAGAAATAAGCTCACATCGTTTGAGTCTTGCGCAGCTGCGGCCCGGTCCAATACACTGGCTGGATGAATGTAGTATAATGCCACCCAAGACCCTACTCTTACGCTAAATATGAAGGCCTGTATAGTGGGCACACCGCGAAGCCCGGAAGGAAAGGCAAGTTTCCTTCGCAAAGAGCAGCTTCAACAGAACCTGACATTCGAAGACAATCCAACCTTGGCCCTATCCCTAAACCCAAAACCTTAAAACCCAGCTTGAGCAGTTGACCTATCGCCGTCCCTGCGCCGGCCAGAACTGCAGTTCCCAGGGTGACGACGCCTCGTCCGACCAAAGAGTCGTGGGCTCCCAGAGCAACAATGAATGGCTGATTTAGGCTTTCTCCCTCTCGATCCCTGATGCTATCTATCGGTCGATCGACCTATCGAACGACCAATGAATCTATGCATCTATCTATATACCTCCAATAAATAAATGAAAAACACACACATATATATATATACACATACATATATCTACATACATATGTAGACGTAGTATATGTATACATACACACATACATACATACATACATACATACATACAGACAGACAGACAGACAGACAGACAGACAGACAGACACAAGACACACACACACACACACACCCCTCCCTCTCTCTCTATATATATCTATACCATATAAGATATATGGATAAACAAACAAATAAATAAACATACATATATATATATATAATTATATACAATTATATACAATTATATATAATTATATATAATTATATATAATTATATATAATTATATATAATTATATATAATTGTATATAATTGTATATAATTATATATATATATAT